CAATTGATACATGCAATCCCCGATGTAACTAGGTCTAGAAATCTCAGTCCCGGTGAAATAGGATAAAGTATCTGAAAAAGATCAACTTTATTATTATTATTAGATTAATTTTTGCAATTGTTCTCTCATTTTCCAATTTACGTACCAAACATAACAACTTTTGTTCGTTAAGTATTTGCCTATCAATTAATATTTCAATGATACCAAAAATGCACGTATTGGGCGTACTCGGGGGCTCCAGCCTCTTTAATGCCCAAAGTATCTCGTCGACTCTAGCAGAAAAAGTAGTGAATACAGAGTTTGGTGCTGTACTTTGCTATGTCGGCACGTGGCCCACGTATCAACAAGACGAGACGACATCACCCCCATTAGAGCTCGTGTATGTGCAACGTCACCACGCAGATCCAGACGGCAAGTACCGCCAGCCGCGCAAGATTAATTATCGCGCCATTGCACTGGCTTTAAAAGCTTTACATTGCCAGGCTGTTGTAGGTATCTACTCAGTCGGATCCATGACATCCACGGTTGGCGTAGGTCGCTTCGTCGTGCCCGAGGATTATTTCAGTCCCTTTGATATCATGCACCTTTCGCATGATTACGATGCGCATGTAGTTCCTGAACTCCACAAAGTGCTGAAATTTGCGTTAGTACAGGCACTTGAAAGTGGTGGCTTTAAACCGTACGATGGTGGTGTCTACGTGCAGACGGCGGGTCCGCGTTTTGAGACTAAGTCGGAGGTTCGTTTCTTTGCGCAATTTGGCGAGTTTATTGGCATGACGGGCGCAAACGAAGCTGAACTGCTTAATGAGCTGCATGTGCCGTTTGCCATGTTTTCCATTGTCGATAATCTGGCTAACGGAATTGGTGAACCTCTCACGCTTGAAGCTTTTAAAGCCACGCAAAAGGCCAACAGCGACCTAATGGAGAAAGCTTTTGTTCACGTTATGAAAGAACTAGCTGATTCCAAGACAGTTCCGTTACTCACCCCCACGCCTTAATGTGTTGATGCAGCTAACTTCAGTTGTTAAGCTACATAGCTGTCATATACATATTTTACTTACTGCATCGTAAGCAATGATGCAGTAAGTAAAATATGTATATGGATATCAATCAGTACTTACAACTGTAGCACAAGTGAGAAAGAATTAAGTCATTTCAGTTAGTAGCTGACGTATAAGCCGACGTACGCATAAATATATTGCGGCTAATACTTATGAGTGACAGGCAAAATGCATTGACGAACGAACTTTAGTAATTTATTGTGTTGAGATACATGACTAGGCCTCTGCATGCAAGGCAAATGCCGCAGATGCCTCATTTTAATCAATAACGGCAGGTACTCGAGTCAATAAACGATATAAAAGGCGAAATGACTGGAGACCAACAACTGGTTTGGATTTAATATTTCGAATGTGGTATCTCCTCGAGCGAAAATTACGTTATTGAGCTGCAGTGGACATCTCTCCTGAGCAGTATTTGGAAATGATGTAGATTAGCCTCCAAAGAGCTCTGAAATGCGGTTTTTAAGCCGCAGGTAATCAATGACCAGGCCACATCAAGCTTCACAATGTCTTCAAGTATAAAAAACTTAAATTTACACGGGACTCCTTTTCGATTGCATCAACAAACTGTTTGTGCTGGAAGCCAAAGCTTTGATATCTGTAGATTGATCCGACAAGTCACATGGACGTAACAACATCAAATGCTGAGGTCATCTCTGATTGGTCCGATTTTGGAAGGCAACCATGGAAGACAGCCCACTCAAAATGCCGAATAGGAACCTAGGAACGCAAAGCACCGAGCCGAAGCTTCCCGATCTGTCTCTGAGAGCTGTTCGAGAGTTTTGATCGAAAATGTTTCCTGTTCTTACAAAAACTCGCTGATCTCTTCTTTTCCAACAGCCCAGAATTCTATTTCAGATGAAGAAGGCGTCGAAGCAGGTTGCTTCCTTTATTGTTAAAACATTTGAAGTGGTCAAATATTTCTTGCAATGTTCCAACAACCACCAGCTGACGCGGCTCATGGAAACTTAGCGCGTTGCCGACAAAATAGGACATACAGCTTGTATTTGCCCACATATGCCTGATCAACGATTCGTTAAATTGTTGATTGTCGTGGGCTTTGAATGTGCTATAAATCGATGTCAATCTGATGTAGCAAGCATCAAACACGAGTCAAGCCTCGTTCTGTAAGAGTATTTTAAATACGCAAAACGACGCCGGATACGATCTCGGTCATATTCGCCTTTTCATTTGTCGACAATCTGACCAGCCTTCTAAACAAGTGACAGCAAAATGCACTGAGGAGTTTCTTGAATATTTCGTTATGGCTTCTCCTGTGTGGCTTCCATCGAATGGGACTGCAATAGCTTGAGAACTTCAAGGTGGGAGAATCGATTGATACTTGGTGGTGTGAATGGTTTTGTGGTGCTGGCGGTAGTTTTCGGTCCTCAATGCTGGTCTCTCGAATACGTACATCATTGCATTTCTTGACTTGTTGTCCCGACCAAAGTCATCACAAAAGTGACACCTGACATCTCCAACGTCCTAATATCGGGCCTTGGGTAGCAATACAGACTCCGAAGTATTATATCAAATGTTTGACTGAAATGGTGTCATTCCCGTGGACTGCGAATTATAAGAAACTTTATTTTATTTTTGAGTTGATGCCTTATATTAAAACAGAGTGCAATTTCTATGCGATACAATTGCTCTAAATTCTAAAGCTTTTGTGTAATTGTGTAAAACTTTACTTCAAATGCTGAACGTATACTTTAAACTTCCATACATTTATATAGATACAACAATGTACGATTACATGAAATGTGCTGATCTCTTATGTGTTATTGTAATATAGAGGTATGGAGTATCGATAGTAATAAAGATGATAGGACTTCGTAAAGGAGAGACGTGGGCTGTCAAGCTCATGTCAATAGCAACACAGAAACACGAAGTATTGGATCCAATACTGGTCATCTTAAACACATATATCACATTTGGAGTAGCAAAGCAACATAGGTAACGTGCAGCGGGGTTGTCGTAGCATTGCGTTTAAAGGAAGCCCAAGGTCACCGACAACTACAATGTATAGATTTTCCTATATATATAGAGAAATCTAAATACATGCATAACTACTGGCTACCTAGCCACATACCGTATTCTTGTTTGG